GTGGTAGAAGCAGGAATGACTTCTCTCCACCGTTTGCTCTAGCAAGGAGGGGGGAGGATGGATAGACGGACGGAAGGCTTCACAGCCCAGGGACGGAAGGTGGGCCTAGTCCAAGACGGTGTCCTTCTTGCCACCATCCTCCTCTTCCCAGCTGAGAGAAAGTCCAAAAGGACCCTTCCCAAAGGAAGACTAGGCCAACAAAGGAAGAAACACCCTCCTAGGTTCACACCGAGCAAGGCAGCAAGCTTTCATCTTTCTCCCTCTCCCTCCCCCACCTGCCTCTCATTGGACCTCCCTGCCCCTCCTAGCGCGGAAAGAAGATTCAACTACCCTGGATTGCCTGGGAACCCAGACCCTGCCCTACGACTCATCTGAACTCCAGGGAGGCTCTAGTCCAGAAGGCTTGTCCTCTCCTGGCAGGGCACCTTCCCAGTTTGAGAAAGCCCAGCCTCGCCAGTCTCTGACCCAGCCTCCAAGATCATGTCAAAGCTAGGATCCACCTTAGGGACAGTCTAGCTCAAGCCCCTCCTGTTACAGATGAGGCTTCAGAGGCTCAGAGACCGGGGCTATGTGCGCGGGGGGGTGTGACCTGCCCAACAGCAGAGCCAGGACTCAGGCCCAGGTCCCCTGAACCCCTCAGCTCGCTGCCCTTCCAGAGAGCTCTAAGTTGCTGACCTTGCTGTCCTGGAATGTTATCCCTTTGTCCCAGGAAGGGGGATGGGGGAAAGGAGAGAGTTACAGACATGACTGGCCTCTCCAACACCAGTCCCGTCAATTCCCCCCCAGTCAGCAGGAGTAGAATGCAGACCCGCTGCTGTTCTCACCTGTCTAGAAACGGCAAAGTCTTTGAAACTGAGTGCAAGCTCTCAAATGTCTCACCACATGAGGCCTCGCAGAAAGACTCCTATATGACTGAGCTCTTATGTGAAAAAAACCAAACAACAACAACAAAGAAAGCAAAACAAAAAAATGCCCTGGCTGGAAGAAATAACATAAGACATGGTGGTTTTAATGCTCCCTTACAAGCCAGGGCTGCCAGCCATGAGTCACAATGTTATTTATGTGTTTCACTCCCAAACTGAGCTGCTAGGGCAGAGGCCCCTTCTCTTTGACAGGTTCCTGAATAAAGGGGAAAAGCTTTTGTCTGGGAGTGAACACAGCTGTTGGTTTTCTCCTGGTTTGAAAATCAAAATATTACTAGACTAGAAAGCTCCCACAAACGATCCGTGATTCTCAGAAATGAGGCAGGCCAAGAGATGCTCCCCCATGTGCACACACTGTCTCCCGGATTCAAAACCCCAGAAATCAAGAGGGCTCCATGGACATCCCTCCCTGTCACATACTCCTCCCTGAGAGGGGCCCGAGAGGTGAAGCAAAAGCCGAACAATTCCGCGTAGCCAGGCCCACTATACCACTTTATTCCCAGCAAAGAGTCCTTTTAAAGGACCCATCCCTAAGGTCCCAATATGGTACCTTTAATAATTGAATAATTTAAATAAATAATTACGTATGGAATAAATTAGAGAATTTATCATTTGTCCTTTTCTTTCAAAAGTTTCGGGGAATAATTTTGACTTCTGGCTACTCCAACCGGAAAATTCCTAGCAGCCTGCACTGTTTCTCCTTCTTTGGCTCACGGCCCATGAACCCTGACCCTCACCAGGGTCTCCCATTCAAAGTCCCGGGACAGGGACAGATATGATCTTGAGCCGCTGGCCTGTGGGCATATGCACACTTCACAAGGATTACATGCAACTCCATTTGCTCATATCTCCTTTTCTAAAGAAGGGATATCAACGATTCTAGACGACCATTATGGAATCATCCATCTCATCCTACTCCCCCTGGGGGGGATGGCCTGGCTGTGTATCTTTCTGTCTTCTCATCTTGCCCTTAAGGCAATAATGAGGCCCTCTTCTCGGACAGACTGAAGAGTCAAGAACTTTCTTTAATCGCTAAAGTGGGATGCTCAAGCCAGTCCAAGAGAATACAACATGCTCTTCTTTTGGGCTAGATCAGTGATCAAATCTACCTTTCTTTCCTCTGCCCCTTCCACCAAGGAGTCCACTAGAACAAGCAGTCTGGAAGAGCTCTCCTTGCCAAATTGGTATAATCCTTTCCTGATCAAGAATCTCTACAAGCTCTGCCTGGGGCTGGCCGGATTCCTTGGGTCATCACAGGAAGAGATAGTAGTTAGTGTGTGAAGGACGGTAAGCATGCCCAGACGGGCCATCAGTTCTGTGAGCCAACCCCCAAAAGGCCCTAGATGACTCACTTTCCTAACCCATGGTCTTCTTTCTACTCCTTAGTGGTCTCATACCTCTCTGGGGCCAGAGACTAGAGAAGGTGCTGGTTGCTCCCTCTGCCAGAACTTCCACTCCCAACTCTCAGAAACAGGGTTTGGAATGGCCCTCTGTGGGGTAGACTCGATCTGGCTTTTTCCTGCCCAAACCTAGGCACCTTTGCCAAATCCACTCCCTCCAAGGCTTAGGTCTTCTTTCATGTGCAAAGTGTTCTCAGACGGTTGTCTCCCTTGACTAAGCTGTTTCCTCGCTGAGAGGAAATGAGGCTGGCCGCCAAAGAGTGCTTGGATATAGGTGCTCGCGACCCATAGTAGTTCTGTGGTTAGACCCTACAATTCTTACATGGCTAGTGCATTCACTCTCTCAAACCCTGGAGGCCCTAGAACACACCCTGATTCATCCTAGAAATCAAATGACAGATCGAAGGGAAGGGGTTAGAGCCACAGACCTGACTTGCTTACAATCGCTAAAAGAGGTTTAACAAGATCAAAAATGCTCCCACCCTGACGAATAAACAATGTGCTCTTAGGGCACAGAGGAAAAATAGGGCTTTAGGCACTAAAAAGTGACACTTCACCCAGATCCAGCCTGGGAAAAGACCAGAGAGAAGGGGGGGGGGGGGGGGGGGAAAGTAAGAAATCCCCAGCCCTTATTGGGTCCACACCCCACGCAGGGTAGAGGAAGGAGAATGCCCTTCAGAACACAAGCCCTCAGGGGCCTGTGGCTACAAAGCCCAAACCCTCCAGAGCAGCCTCCCCAGCTGTCCCGCGGTCCTCTGCACCTGACTCGTGGTGCACGGTCCACACAGAGCGGGCGGCCTCATATGGTGGAGTTTAGCTTGTGCCCTGCTTTTGATGCTTCCTTGTTCCCAAGAGAACACTTGGGGAAGTGTGGGTGGGGAAAAAAAGATTCTCGTTTATTTTGGAAACAAATCAAAAGGGGATTAGGGAATGAAGCACCTTAAGCAATGCCCCCTTGAAACTTCTTTTCACGACCGACCCCCGGGGTCTTCACAGGCATAACTTTGGCTCCACGTCTCCCTTCTCAGAGCCAGGAACGGCCAGCGAGGGAAAGGGTGGGGACGAGAGGACGGAGAGGAAGAGGCTCAGGGGAGGTGGGTGCTGAGAGGTGGTCCCTGCCCTCCTGGCCCCTCCGCCGGCCAGCACAGGGGGCGGGCCCGCTCCTTCTCCCTGGTACATAGGCATCATCTCTTTTTAAAATCTGTATATAATATATATATTTATATTCTTTCTCTATTTATACACATATATTTATATGGTCTATGTACACGTATTGCACAGGCCTCCTGCCGCTGCCCCCGCTCCTGCCTTGTCAGTGATAGCGGTGCCTCTTCTCTTCGCTTTCTGACGTGTAGTCACGGGCCCTGATGCCGTTCTGAAGATTGATGAGTGAGTCCTTCATCTGTAAGACAGGGAAGCCCACCCCAGCCCGGGTTTGTGCCCTCAGTGGGCTCCTCCATTCAGCAGCACCCACCACACCCACGTATGGCGGGTCCCCCCGCCAGGCCGGGCAGCTAAAGGCAGCAGGCTCCTGAAACAAGGGTCGTTCTCAAGGGACACAGTCTCAGGCTGAAGGGGGACTGCCGGTCGAGCACTGGGAACCCCTGGGGTAAGGGGGTAAGGGGTGCTGTGTCTCAATGTGCTGTGGTCCTTGTTTCACGGAATCAAGAATTCTCTCGAAGCTTCCATTGCTATCAGGACCCGCGTCCGATGCCGCTGATCGGTCTTCTGCTCACTCGGCTTGGTTTCCTAGGGATCCTGAATACACTGTCCTCCTCTCCTGGTACCTTTGCCACACTGCTCCCCCAGCTCGGACTCTTCTCTCTTGCCCATTCTACCTCACCCATCTACTATCAAGGCCCAGAACAAATCCAAACTTTCTCTGGCTCACAGCCATCTCTCTCTCTCTCCTGGCCTTTCATGGACCCCTCACTAGGGCTCTGCGCTGCAGTCATCTTTAATGGCTTTGTTTCAGCTGTGTTGGGACTGCACTGTCTTATCCTTACCTTGTACACCCCAGGTGCCAAGCAGAAAACTGAGTAGGCTCCTAGCTGTACCCACGTCATTGAATTAACTGACTCTTAACCGAATTTCTTAACCCTCTTTAAGAAACAGATACATCCCACATCACGGGATGGAGTTTACATGGGGCAATTCCAGCGGGAGAATCCTACCCTGGTTCTAGGTAAGCTGCCTTGTTAACACAGGACGGTTAACATTTCACAGGTAAACAGTTACGGATTTTGAGAACCTCTGATCTCTCGGCCTAATCTGTCACTTTCTTCTCTTTAGTTCTTCGATATCAGGAGGGATGAGGGGCCCATTAATGTTCTTTTAAAGGGGACAGAACGATGGGAATTCCCTGGCGGTCCAGTGGTTAGGACTACGGCGCTTTCAGTGGCAGGACCTGGGTTCAACCCCTGGTCGGGGAACTAAGATCCCACAAGCCACGCAGCGTGGCACGCCCCACCCAACCCCCCAAAAAAGGGGGAAAAGAAAAACGAAAAACAAAATCAAGGAAACGGAACGAGACACCGATCTTAATGCTTGTAGAGTCGAGTCTACGAGGCTACAGGTCTGCCTGCCCCAAGCTCCTTCTGAAGGAGACCCACCGTGAATAGAATTCCACAGCTGGAAGGGGACCGGGTCATCCAGTCCAACTGCCCCCTGCCTTTAATTCATAAGTCCCTCACCCCACATCATCGCATCACCCTCTGAGCACTTTCAGTCCTTCAAAGTAGCCCGTTCCATTGCTGGACTGCTCTACCCATAAGGAGTGTGCTTTCCGTTGATGACTCAAAAATCTGATTCCCTGTAACTTCTGGCCCTAGTTCAGTCCCCTGGATGTTCACAGCAGTCTAACCCTTTTTCTAGATGTTAGACCCCAACGTCTGAAGACTGTCCTGTGCTGCTCACCCACCCGTCTTCCCTGCTCCTGAGCACATCTTTACTTCTCTCAAGCCTTCCTGATAGGACAGAGCTTCCAAATTCCTTGCTGTGTTGCTTGCCCTCCTTTGGTTAAAAAAAAAAAATGCCCTTCTTAAACGTGGCTCCAATGTTATGCGTGACACTCTAAACCCATTAAACTGGATCATGATAGCTGCATTAAAATTCTCTCTCCTTAATTTAGAGCTAAGAAACCAAACCATGAAGGGGAGATAAAGTTGAATATTAACGAGTGCCTCCCATGGGCCATCAGATCAAATGTGACAGCAATTTCACGAAGCAATGATTATAATTCCAATTTTATAAATGAAGGAACCGAAGGTCCCTAATACTAAATCCCTTGCTTGAGGTCACAAAACTAGTCAGTGGCAAGATTAGGATTCCACCTCAGGCTGATAAAATGAAGCTAACTATTGATTTTGCCCCAGAACGACTTTCTTAAAAAGACGCATCTAGTTTTTCAGAAAGAAAACCGTACCAGGAAGAAGACGTTATGAAAAGGAGACACAGTACCAGCCATCTTCCCAGACTCTCAGCACAGCCCCTGAGGAGGGGCCACAGCCTGGGCCTTGGGTGTTGTGTGCGTGTTTTGAGGGCAGGAGGTGGGGGAGGGGAGCACACATCAAAAGGAGTTAGAAAGACACGCCCTCTGGGAAGATAAATCTCTGCAAAAAGGGGGTTATCTCTTTCAAGGCCTGCCAGATGGCTATGGGTTATCAAGAAGAAAAATTAGCTCTCCTTCCATCTAACCTACAGTTTTCCTACTGCAAATCCAGTGTGTTATTTCACTGACATAATTTTGGGGAATACACGGGTGTCTCCCACAGCTCACTCAAGGGTGGCTTTAAAATCAGAACAATGGATGGCCTGGGGGAAGGACGAATGGGAGGAGGGCATCTGGTGGACGATGATGGAGATGGCGCTCTCCTCAGAGCACAGGGCAGAAGTCCCATCTCCGTAAGACCAGGGCAAGGAAGGACGGTGGGGGCATCTCACCTGGTCAAGAAGCATCACCGAGGATTTGATGATCTCCCTCCATTTTTGGAGCTCGGTATCGTGGTACTTTTGCTGGGACTCTAAGAGCTGGGCCCACTCTGTCTGAGACTGGGGTAACCTGTGGGGTAGAAGAAGGGGCACCCCAGCAGCTGGAGTTATGGCCCGTCGACTGTCCTATGCGCCCAGACCCCTAAAGGACAGAGAGCCACATCAGAGCGCTCTGTCCTTTGCTCAGTGCCCTGGTTCCCCTGTGCCCCAAATCAGAAGCAGACTGAAACTACCCGGACAGTTTTCAGAGCCTGCCTAGGCACTCATCCCAGAGGGTTATCCCCCCGCCAAGGCCAGCAGGGCCGTCCCAAGGAGACTGGGAGGCGGGAGCTGGGACACAGTACTGGCTGGGGTGAAGGTGGGAGCAAGGGGGAGAGGCCAGGATTACCTTTCCTGGAGCCTCAGACCCTGCCAGGCAGTGAGGGTCTGGGTGGTATATTCCAACATCCAGAGTTTGTAGAATAGCATCATGTTGAGGACGACCAGCAGCACCAGACTAAGAAGACGACAAGGGGGAAAGCGAGAGCCATGAGCCGGCGTCTGGGGGAGCGCCCTCCCTCTCAGAGCCGGGCACGCCCCCGCCCCAGGGGCCACTGTCCACTGACCACTGGGTCACCTGATGCATCGCAGGGAGTGGTTAAGTGAGCCGGAGGGATGCAGCGGAGGCGGGGGTGGGGGGTGGGGAGGGGAAAGAGAGAAAGAGAGAGAGAGAGAGAGAAGCAGTGTCATCTGGAGGGGCCAGGAAAGGGCCGTGGAGAGGTGTGTGGGGTGAACGCAACAGAAAGGAGAGACATAAAGGTCACCCAGAACCTGGGTGTTGGGGGAAGCGAGGTAAGATGGAGAGGAAAAGAGATGATGCGGTAAAAGAAGCAACCATAGAGCCAGCACCTGAAACAGATCCCAGTGGGAGCAAGGAAGAAAAACAGGGAGGAGGCAGAGGTTAGAAACAGGCTCCTGTGGGGAAGGGGAAAGCCAGCTCAACCCGAGGCAGAGAGAAAGTGAGCGTCTGTGACAAAGCAATGCCAGGAGCAGAGACACAGCAGGATGGCGACGTCTAGCAGGAAGGAAGGGGGGCGCGGGGAGCAACTGTACACAGACTCTTAGCACTTCAAGGGTGATCAGTCGAGACAAGGATCCTCCTACAAACCCAAACCGGGGGAGGAATTCCAGCGGGATTCCCAGCTCTGCCCCTGATACTCCTCCCAGATGTTAGCACAACTGCCCGAGAGCTGCCGTCTCCTCCGTGCACCTGCCACAGCCCTGCACGGGGCACGAGGACCAGCCCAGGTTTCTCAGGGTTGGGCTGGAAGTGCTCAGAGTCAGGGAGGTGGCAGGAAAACCAGGGGCCGGGGGACCCAGTGGGGAATGATGAAGAGTCACTGAGGCCTGTGGGAATTCTCTTCTCTTGGCCTCAGTGGCCTAAAGATCATTTTATAACAGAGGTTCACGGGATGGAGACATGAAAGCTCTGGGAAAGAGAGGATGCAGACACGCAGAACTGGGCACAACGCCCGGCTCACTGCTGAAACATCTCAACTTTCAATCAAGTTTCCTAGCTTCACTGAAAGCCAGTTCCTTCAACAGGACAATAATACCTACCCTGCTGAGGTTGTTATGTGCATGGAAGGAATGTATGTGAAGCCCTCCACAAAGATCAGTTATTTCCATTAAAGGAGAAAGTACAGACACACAGGAAAAAGAATGACAAAAATGGGAAGATAAAACAAATAGATGGAAAAGAGACCAACAAAGAAAAAGAAAACCTATACTACGCCTCTGACCTTTCAAAGTGTGTGCTGCGTGTGGTGTGTGGTGTGTGGTGTGTGTGGTGTGTGTGACTGTGTTTCTCACCTGGGCTTCCAGCCCTATGGAAGGCGGCATTCC